AGACAAATCTTGTCTATACATTGAAAACTGAGTCACATAATTTGGTATAGCTTAAAGATTCAAGATCTAGAAAGTCTAGGATATTTTGTGAAAATACAGTGTGTCTAAAATACAGAGTGTATTTATGTTTTGTTGTATATGCATTTACTCTTGGTTATAAACACCTATCTTATAAATATACCTTACCCAAGTTATGGTGAGTTATGTATAAATAATTTCATATCAATTAAGGTGGAACATTCCCTTATGTACCTATGAGAAACTAAGTATAATTTGTACCATGCTTGGGAATTTTTCAGTGGAGACAAATTTATAGAGTTGTGATAAGCCAAGGGAGAACATAATAACTAATGCATTTTTGTCAAAGGATAGTAAACGAATATATATGTATGAGTAAAATCAATTTATCCTGACAGCATTTTAATTTAGAATGTTAGTACTTAGAAAGCAATGAAAAAGTTTATAAAACTACATCAATATTTTCAATATTGTGTTTTAATAGATAGTTATTATTAGGAATTGATTTTTAGTCGTTGATAAATGCCTTAGAGCTTCTCATTTAATGTACATCCATCTAGTTAGAAAAATAATTAAGTGTATTATACTGTGTGGAAAGTGAGATTTGATTACTTACATTCTCAAGACCATAGAGTATGAGTTACAGGTATCTAAAGTAGGCTTTTATTTTTTATTTTTTGATTAAAAGTTTTTTGTTGAGGCAGGACTTCACTATATAACCCCTGACTGACCTGGAATTTGCTATGTAGACCAGGCTGACCTCTCAGAGATCTGTCTGTCTCTGTCTCTAAAGTGCTTGGACTAAAGGTGTGTGCAACCACACCTAGCTAAAATAGGCTTTTAACTATGGCAGTTGCTCCCTCTGAATGGAAAAGTCTTATTCTGTGAAATTGATTACTGTTAATTTTTTATTTAAAATATTCTTTTACTATTTAGCTACCAACATGCTTTGAGATTTACTTCAAAATATATTTAGTGGTGATTATTCTTAAGTTTCATGACAATGTATATCTGTGTAATGTTGTATGTATACCTGTGTAATGTATGTATTTTGCAGCTTTTGCATGGTTACACTTTCCCAGAAAGTAATATTAAGTTTCTCAGTTCTGCCTCCTCAGTGCTGAGGATTGAACCCAGAGACTCCTGAATGCTGTGCAAGTACGATGAATTATACCCTTAGCGATATATCTTCATTTTTAAAATAGAACAATGTGTTCTATAATTTTGTTGATATTCATCAACATTTTGGTTTAATTTCAGAATTATTGTTGTAACACTGAGCTCTGTGACATAGTTAATACTAATAAGATTTCTGATTAAGTAGAGGAACAAACTCAGTGTAGCATATGCCTGTAATCTCAGTGCTTGGGAGGCTGAAGCAGGAGGATCAGAAATTTGGGATCAACCTAGAGTGTGTAGCAAGTTGCAGCCCAGGTTGTCCTATATACTGAGACCCTGTCCTAAAAAAACAAGCTTCAACTATTTAAAGTCAGGAAAGAAACCATTAACTGTTTTCTAATAGACCATCTTTAAGCATTTTGATTTTAATTAGGAAGTTTTCTCAGAATAGGTTCTTGCAGATTAGTTATACTAAAACGTGTTATACATTAAAATGTTTTATTGGATTCATATTAATTTTATGAAGAAAAAGTCAAAGTAAATGAAATAAAAGTTTTATATCTCATGTCTTAACTTGCACTTCCTTGAAAGGATTTAGATCAAATTTTATTACCAAACAAGATTCACAGAAGCATAAATGTACCATTTAAATTACTTTTTAATTATAGTTAAAACTTGGCACTGTTAAACATCTTAATGTGTAAAAATTTTCACATTATGGTAGGTATGCTTTAATAGTTTTTACATTATAAAATAAATACATGGTATTACTGAATGAAAATTGCATGTTATAAATGCTGTTTTAGTACTAGGCAACATTTGCTGACTTTTACTATACTAATACTTTCTTGTTTTTAGCAAATTGTTATTTAGCTTTTGATTTTTATCTATATCTATATGTTTTGAGACAGGGTCTTGCTATATAGTCCAGATATTTATGTAGTTTTTCCTAAGAAATAGTTTCCTAGTCATGATCAAGAAATCATACCATATTATTACTTTAACTAAAAGTTTTAGAAATTTAAAAGAAAGTACTGTTTTGCCAATAAAACCTTTCTGTAAGTTTGTAGATGAAGTTCCTAAGCTGGACTATTTCTGTAATGTTTTCTCCATTCTTATCGCTGGAGTTTAAGCAGGAAAGTAAATGCACTTGGAAGTTTTGTACTTAAATTATTTTTGTTCTTAATTAATGGGAGATGAAAGAATTAAAAACATACTTAAATATGATGAGAACTGAGACAAAGGATAAAATAGGATAAAATAATACAGTACTAGTAAAACATTCTAAAGCTATAATAATAATACTTTATGGATACTGTAGTATAAACAGTAGCATACATTTTGAAATCTGAACCTTACAATAATCTTAACGAGCTAAGTAAATCCCTTCCTCCTCCTCTTTCATTCTTCCTTATTTAGTGAGGCTGTCATTTTTCTGGACTAGCCCACCCCATTTTGCCTGTTTGAGCATCTTGGGATCATCTGCATCTCCCCAGATATCAGATAGACCTCTCACTCCTGATGTGCTTAGATATGTCCAGCCTTTTGTCTGGGTAGAGGGAAAGTAAGCATCAAGATTGCCAGGAAAATGCTTGTTATGACCATTATTAGGCTCAGGTGTTTTTGCATTTTATTTTTATTATTTTTATTATTATTATTATTTTTTTACTGTGACAGGGTCTCACTATGCTGCTCAGGTTGGTCCTGAAGTCCTGTGCTCGAATGATGCTCTTACCTCAGTCTTCCAGTTGCCAGGACTATAGACACAGGCTACCTAGCAGTAGGACAGGTTTCTTATTTTTCCTTTTCAGAAGTAGATGGTTTACTGAGCTTAAGCGTTATGACTTTGAGGTTAGGAAAGAATTGAAGACATAGTATAAACCATAAAAGAAAAGATTGGTAGCTATAATATCTAAAATAATCACTAGAAAACAACAGTGACCATTCACAGAGCTCTATAATATAAGGTGTTTAGCTTTACCAGTAATTTAGGAATGCAAATAGGAATAACAGTATAGAAAAATATCCAAACACTATTGGGACACCATTAGGTAAACACCAGATTACAAAAAATTTAAAATACATGCCCATATTCCATATTTTCTTTCTTTCTTTTTTTTCTTTTTTTGGGGGGGTCTTTTGGGATAGGGTCTCCCTGTAGCCATAGCTGGCCTAGAACTCACTATGTAGACTAGGCTGGCCTCAAACTCACAGAGATCCACTGCCTCTACCTTCTAAGTGCTGGGATTAAAGGTATGCACTACCATACCTATCTCATATTCCATATTTTCAAACTTGAAACATGGAAAAATTTTGGAAGAGTTATTCTGAGAGCCATTGGACTTGTACATGAGTAAAGAATTCAGCTTTCAAATGTCTCAGTATAGGAGTGGATAAAACCCTGACAGTACTGTCATGGGAAGTCTGTGACAGTTAAAGATAACACACAGATTGATATCAGCTAAACTCTTAACATGATGAAGAGTGAAGACATATGAAAACACTTGATTTATTATAATGCTTTCATGTGAATACAAAAGCAAATATCAAGACATTTTCTTATGAATATATATATCTATAAATGTATTTTACAATGTTCTACAAGAGAATACTGTAAATTCATATAGTAATAATTTCTGGAAAAGATAAAAGGAACTTAACTAAAATGTAGTACTGTTGTTTTTTTTTGTTTTTAAAGAGAATGGATTGACAACTATAATAAAATAATGTTGAAAGCAAGTGTGGAAAACGTTAACAGTTTTAGCTCTGGATGTTATGTGAGCATCTGTTGTTTGTTTGTTTTTTTCTCCTTTTTTTTGTTTTTGTTTTTGTTTGTTTGGTTTTGAAACAGGAATCTTACTATTTGGCCCAGACAGAACTAGAACTTGAAATCCTACTGTCTCAGTCTCCCTACTGCTGGAATTATAGGCATGTGTCACCACACCAGACTGCTAGTTTTTTCTACTCCTTGCTTTCAGAATTTCCTTAAAAAGTTAGGAGGACAAATCCAGTTTTTGTAGGATGACTTGAAATACTTAGGAAGACCCAATATTTCTCAAATTTAAATCTTTCTGATGACATGCTGCCTGAAAGAAGGTTTTTTGTTTTTTTTTAAAAAAGATGACAGTTTGAAATGCCGGGTGTGATGACCCAGGCCTTTAATCCAGCATGTGGGAGGCAGAGGCAGGTGGATCTTTGTGAGTTCAAGGCCAGCCTGGTCTACTTAGTGAGTTCTAGGCCAGCTGGGGCTACAGGGAGATCTTGTCTCAAAAAGACCAAAAAAAAGACAGTTTGAAAAAGGTAGACAAAAACTGGGCTAGGGATATAGCTCAGAGGGTAGAGGGTTTGTCTGTCATGCAGGAAGCCCTGGGTTTGATCCCTGTATAAGACTGGATATTGTGGCTTATGCCTATAATTCCAGCATTGGTCATCCTTGGCTACATGGTGACTTTAAGTTTGGGACTAGCCAGAGATACATGAGATCCTACCTCAAAAAAAAAAAAAAAAAAGTCAGACAAAATTCACTTTTGTAATAATAAGACTCCAGAAACTTATCTGTTGATGGTAAAATCTGAGAGGAAAGAAAAGATTATAAATTAAAAGTTATTATTTTATAGTCTTTAAGTAAAGTTTATGCTGTTATGTGTATATATAGAAAAGATACCTTAATTTATTGCTCAAAATATGCTACATATTTCTATTGCATGTGATGGAGGACATTAGATGATTCAAATTTTAGAATACAAATTCATGAAAATAATTTAGCTATATAATCTGACGTTAGTCTAAAAAGTCAAAACTAGTTTTTCTTCCACTTTGTAAAGTCATTCTTGACAAAAACTTTACAGCCTTTTTATTTACAGCTTCTCTCCACGATAAAATGGCAAACCCCAAAGAGAAAACTCCAATGTGTCTGGTAAATGAGTTAGCCCGTTTCAATAGCATCCAACCCCAGTATAAACTTCTGAGTGAAAGTGGGCCTGCTCATTCGAAGGTAAGGTTATAAAGAGAGGTGGTGAGACATGCTTATCAAACTATCAGACTTAACCTGTCAGGTGTTAATTTTGCTTTAATTTTGGGAATCAGGGTGGTGGTGGTGGTGGTGGTGGTGAATGATCTGAATATTTAGATGTTTGTAAATAATTTTGTAATTTATTAATGGTTTATAAAGCTATATCCCACAAAAACCTTAACAAAACCATGAAATACAGATTTTTAGACATTAGTAAATTAAGAATCTCAGTCATGGTAATGTTACATGACTTGCTCTGGAGCTCATAAATGTTAGTGCCAGCACTTGAGTGTGTTCTTTGGCTCTTGCTCTTCCCAGTAAATAACAGCTGCTCAAGTAAGAATGGAGACAGCAGATACTGCAGTGGTTAAAACTATTGATGCATCTTTTCTGATGTGATATTTAATTTTAAGATTTATAATTTATAAAAGAAGTTGTGCATACCACTATTATTATCTGTGCATTTGTATTGTTCTTTTAAAAAATGTATTATTTTTATTTTATGTGTATTGCCTGCATGTATGTAAGTGTACCTGTGCCATGCAATGCCTGCAGAGGTCAGAAGAGGGCATCAGATCCCTTGGCACTGGAGTTACAGAGGGTTGTTAACTGCCATGTGGGTGCTGGAAACTGAACCTGGGTCCTCTGCAAGAGCAGCCAGTGCTCTTAGCAACTGAGCCATTTTTTCAGCCCGAATTCATATTGTTCTTGTAAAAGGAAAAGCAGTTTATATTTATACCAAATATGCATATATTTATATATGTTCATGTTAAAAGAAAATCTGCGAGTGGTACATCTTGTTGAAGATCTGTTCATTTCTGTAAAAACTTTCAGTGGTGTGTAATTGTACTTGACATATTTTAAATATGGGATATTATGATAGGCAAAGGTTTTTGTACATAGTATGGAGACAATTGATTCTGTGAGTTGGATAGTCTCATAAAGCAACTGAAGTTCAGTTTTTTAAATGTTTTCTGTCACCTCCTATAAAGTAAGGAAGTAAGATTAACCTAAATCTGTCCTGTGTGTTCCCTGTAAGCAGCTTTTGTGAAGGACTTATGGGCAAGTTTTTAATTGTTCCTACCATCTCTTGTTCTTGTGTTAGGAGCGAAAACAGCTGTGGTCTCTCTTCTTGTCCAGCCGCACCTCCTCACTCTCCTTCCTGCTTATTCTGCCCCTTAATCATGAACTGTTCACATTTCTCAGGATATTTTCATTATTTTTACATATCCTTGTTTTTGCCCAAGATAGTATTAATATCTTTCTGCCTTGGGTTTCCTTTATTCATTTTGAAAACTAAACCTACTATGTTGTATCTTCTAAGCCATAGATTCCATAGATGGAATCTTCTGGATCCCTCTACTGGACCTCCACAGGACCTGGTGTTTTCAGCTGCCGTCTTTACAGTGCTATGGTGTGATGCTATATTTTGGCTATTGATATGTATAGTCTATTTAGGGATATATTTTTATTGTATTTCCCCTGATTCGCATTGCCAGTTCCAGGTAGTTTTCCTTGGTACAATCCTTTCCATTTCATATGATTAGATGGATTCCTCACATCCCTTCTTAGTAGTCATTTCCTTAGTCTGGGATTCCAGTATGTTTCTTATGGCTCACTTTCTTATGGCTCACTTTCACTTTTGTTAGCATCCCTGATTATCATTTTTGGATGATTTTAATGCCTCAATAGATGATTGTTCTAGCATGCTGACTTTGAGCGTCAGTTACCTTGGTCTCTACTCTCTTCAGGCACCTGTCTTTGACTTCTTGTTTTGACCTTATCACTACCAATAACTTCTAAGACCCTTCATAATTTTCATTAACAATATTTTCTTTAAAACTTTTTATTTTATTTATGTGAGTGTATTGCCTGCATGTATGCACCTGTGTTGTGCATTGCCCATGGAGGTCAGAAGAGGGCATTGGATCCCTTGTGTCTTAGTTTGTTTCTTCATTGCTGTGACAAAACACTCTGACCAGTACCAACTTGGGGAGGAAAGGGTTTATTTGTCTTACAACTCCCAGGTCGCAGTTCATCAGGGAGCCCAAGGTAGGAACTCAGGGCAGGAACCTGGAGGCAGGAGCTGGAGCACAGGCCATGGAGGAACACTGCTTACAGGCTTGCTCCCTCAGCTCCTGCTCAGCCTGCTTTCTTATGCAACACAGGCCCACATGCCCAGGTGTGGCACCACCCACGCTGCTTACAGGCTTGCTCTCCTGGCCCCTGCTCAGCCTGCTTTCTTATGCAACACAGGCCCACCTGCCCAGGGATGGCACCACCCACAGTGGGCTGGGCCCTCCCACATCACTCATCAAGAAGATGCCCCTCAGACATGGCCACAGGCCAGTCCAATAGAGGAAATTCCCCGATTGAGGCTCCCTCAACCCAGGTGTGTCAAGTTGACACTAAAGCTATCCAGCACACCTTGGAACTGGAGTTAGGGATGGTTGTTAGCTGCCATGTCAGTGCTGGTAACTGAACCCAGATCCTCTGCAAGAGTAGCTAGTGCCCTTAACCCCTGGGCCATGGTTTTCTCTCCAGCCCCCATAGTTTTCATTTTGAGCATTCATCTCTCTGACACTAACCTCTGAACCTTCTAAATAATTTCTAGTAACATGATTTCAACAGTCTTTCTATCATACAGCTCCATCGACTCTACTACTTTTTCATCACTGTCCTTAGTTCTGAGCTCATTGCTCAGCTCTGATTTGTATGGATGCATCCTCAACTCTCTCGACTTTCTTGGTTTCAGGAACTTGCTTAGCAAAATTCCAACCCCAAATGTGAATGCCATCTTTCTGAATTGTGGAAGAATTGCTGGTAAAGCCAACCTTTTCTATCACAGTCCCTCCCACCATTCCTCTAACTTCACTTCTGCCTCTTTTCTTCTCTCCTTAGTTTCTTCTCTGTCATCAGTTTCTCCATCCAGTGGATTATCCCATGAGCATACACACATATTACTAGTTTGTCTTAAAAAAAAAATCTGGCTACACTTCCTTTTCTAATTTTAGTCTCTTCTCTTCTTTACAGCAAAACTCCTAAAGATAACGCATACTAGCTGTTTATAGTTCCTATGTTCCTAGACCTGTCAGCTTCACTTGAGACAGGAGAAATGTATTTGCCTCCTTTTTGAAAGGTTTTCATTTGACTTCCAAGACACTGTTCTTCCTCTTTTTCTGTTGTGCCACTGGCTACATATATGTTTTAATTAATTAATTAGGTAATTGTTTGATGTCTTGCTATGTTCTAGTCCAGGCTGGCCATGAACTCATGATCCTCCTGTTTCATGCTCCTGAGGATGGATTATACTCTTGTACCACTATGCCTAGCTCATTGAACACATTTAAAAAGTTTCCTTTGACATTTTTTTCCTGATCTAGAGGTTTTTCGTGTTGTAGTACCCCAGGTTCAGACTTTGGACCTTTTCTTTTCTCCTTACTTTACTCCCTTAATGGTCTCATAGAGTCTCAGGGCCTTAAATAGCATCAGCTTTTAAATTTATGTCTCCAGCTCAGAGTCTTCCCTGTACTCTGGAATCATATGTCTAGTAGTCCATTAATTATCTCTGGTTGAATGGCTAATGGATCTCTTAAACTGAGCTCATCTAAAACTAGTTCCTGATCTGTCATATTTCTTCCCTTTACTTTTCTTAGTAGCGTTTAATACCTGCAAATGTTTTGTTTTGTCTTTTCCAGTTAAAATATAATCTTTGAGGACATGCCTTTATTTTGGTTCTTTATTGCTCTATTCCCATCACCTAGAGTGAGTGAGTAATCACTCACTAAGTATTTGTTAAATGAGTGAATTCATAAACAAGTTAATAAAAAATCGAGTTAGCTCTTTGTGTACATATCAGTGAGTGAGCTTTTCTGAAAGGAAATGTGCTAACTTTTTTTTTAATTGTAAATTTGAAGTTGTGAATAAATGCAAAATAATGCCTGAAAAAGCAAAACTTATTCTCTAAAGAGACTTTAATGAACAAATAGACTGGGGTGTTTAGCTTAGTTATATCACACTTGTCTAGCATATGTAAGGCTCTGGATTCCATCCTTAGTTCTCCAAAAGCTAAAAACAAAAAAATAATGAAAGAGGAAAAAAAAAATTACTTAAAGCAACTCTGCTGTTCCAGTTTTTTTTTTTCTCCATTTTTCTGACTCTGTTAATAGAAGGCATATTTAAAGAGGAAAAATATTTGATAATTTTATTGCTTGTCTTTTTCAAAAAAATTATTTGAGAATTTTCATACATGAGTACACTGTATTTACAAAAATTTCACCCCTTCCTCTCCCCTTTAACGTCTCCCCCATCCCCCTAAGCCCCTCAAAGATTGATGAACTTCTGTAATTATTATTAAATACACATGTGTACACCACATACACAGACACAGACACAGACACACACTCTTCTGAGGCCAGTTAGTGTTGCTCTTATTCGCATGTGTTTAGGGCTGACCACTTAGGACTGGGGTTTTGTCTCTGAAGAAGAAAACTGGTTCTCCTCCCTCAGCAGTCATTAATTGCCTGTAGCTCTTCAACTTTTGGTGGGATCTTGTGACTTTTTCCTCCATCCGTGTTGGCATGTTGACTGGTATTGTTGAGAGTTTATAGGTATAACCTCTCTGTCCTGTCCAGAAGACACTAGCTTACAGAAGTGGTCCTGTTCCTCAGGCTCTTACAGTCTTTCTGCCCTCTCTTCTGAGAGGTACCCTGAGCCTTACACATAGAAATGTGCATTAATAGTATGTATATGTTAGTTTATTTGAGGTTAGCAGTTTACCCATTCTACTTCAATAATGCTTTACTTTGGGTGCATTGAATCATCTCTTTTCTAAAAATTTTTTTATCATTTATTCCTTTCCCTTTCATCCCAGTTTTTCCTCCTCTCCTTTCCTATATGCATAGGCCATCCTGGACTTCAAGTACTGGGATTACAGGTGTGTGTCACTACTCCCAGCTAACCAAATCCCTCTGATTATTATA